AAAAAACCCTATTGAAATTCACTTGGCAGTGAAGATGCTAGCAATTCACTGCGGTGCAGCTGCTCTGGAAAAGGCAAACGTCTATCAAAACCCCCCACAAAGTGATTGTCCGGCTTAGGGTGAGCTGGTATTCAAAGGGAATGAGCAGTGCAGCTGCCAGAGGGGTGATGGTGGGGAAATGAAGGGGTTACAAAAAGATTTGCAAGAGAAGCAATGCACATGCCTCCCGCTCTCTCCCCTTCCACCTTGTGACTTGAGGAGGACGGGCTCGCGGATTTGTGCTGACTGAGGGGAGCTCAACAAGGGGCTTAACAGAACCAGGGCAAGACTGCTTTAAAGACAGAAGTAACTGGGACAGGCCCTGAACACAACCCCTGGGTAAAACACAACCCATTACATGGTCACGCTAGTCCTGCTTGTCTAGGGGACTTTGGAAACACGGCCAGGAAGCATAATTGTTATATTAACATCTGCGAGAAAACGTGGCAGCTTTTTTGGAAAAAAAAACTTTTTTCGGGGGAAAAAATGCAGATCTGGCCTCACAAATATTTCACTGCATTCTTTCTTGGAAAAAAAATATCCCCAAAATTCAGACTTTTCGGTGCAAAATGACTGTTTTGAAAGTTCCTTCCATGTGGTTCAAAAATGTAAAAAATGCTGAAAAAGCAAAAGGAAGTGTTTTTGCTTTGTGTTGAAAAAATATTTTATTTTTCAAGTTTTTGCTTTGCTGAAAAGTGCAAAATAGGTTGGTTTTGATTCAACCCAAATGATTTCTTCCCCCTCCTCCCCCCCACATCCCCCTGATTTTTTGGAATTGCCAGTGACCCAAAAAGAATCCAGTATTTGCCCCGCTTTAGTGGGGACGGGTGTTTAGCACACTGGGATCCTGGTCTCTGACTGGGGCTCCTACCTGCTACAGTAATACAAATCTTGTTGACACCAGGGATCAAACTGGGAATTCTTCCAGCTAAAGACACAAGACTCTACAGCGCCAGCAAAAGATCCTAGCTCTCTAGCAGAGTCTGTAACAGACTCATATCCTGGTGCAGTGTAGAACATGCTAACCAGTGAGTTACAGCTGCATGTAACAGTGTTCAAACAGAAAACCTGGGCCAGCTTTGCAGAATCACTTACTGTAATCCAAAGAACATCTGGATAGGCAATCAGACGACATTGGACCCTTCTGGTGTGGCCTCCCGCTGGTTTTTTTCAGATTAGCATCAAGGCCTCATCTCAAATAGGTTCTTGTTAACTGATCTCTTCATTTTCCTGCCTATAAGCAATGCGTACTGGAGATGCCCGCATAAAGACTATAATTACCAGCTCTGTTTGTGTTTGCAGCACTGACTTCAGGTGTGAGCAGCGGAGCGCTAAGTGAATCTGAAAGCCAGCAGCCTGTGGTGAAGGGTTACTGGGATCTTGCCCTTGGGTGAGGACCGTGCTATTTTGCTAATTAATCACTTCCTGAATATAGGCACCTAACCAAGGCAGCAGAGTGAGTGTGTATGTGTGCGCGACAGACCGTTCCATTCGTCTGTGATTGTATCTGAATGTCATGTACCGCAGAGCCAGTAGGGGTGCCCCCCATCCTCTCCCACCCACCACCCTAGTGCCACTCCTCCAACAGCACAGGAGCCAGAGAGAGCCAGAGGCTGGCAGCCTGCTCTCCACCAGAGCCTGCGAGCCCAGCTGGTTCTGGGAAGGGGCTTACAGATGGCCCTGTTCACCTACACTCACTGGAGACTTGTAACTCCTCCAAACACCCTCCCTCCCATCCAGGGCAAGACCTTCTGCCCCACACCAGCTAGGAGAAACCTTCAGTGGAGACCTACCCACCTCTAGAGCTGAAGGGAATCCATTTCCCATTCAGCTCACCACCACAGGAGATGAGAGTCATTCCTGACCCACCACCCCATAACCAGAGGGCACTGCTGCCAGGTTGTGCTGCCCCCTAGAGGATCTCCCAGGAGGTGCTGGAGAAGAGGAAACCGCTTGAGACGGGGTTAGATGGGAACAGGATTTATGGACTGGCGAGTGTCTGGAGCTGATAGATTTTGAGGGGTGAAAGTCAGGGAATGGCTCAGGGACCAAGGCAGTGTTTTTAATGACAAGAGTTAAGCTGCTGGTGTGCTAAGACTGCTCACTATCATGCTCATCAGTGACTTCCTTATACTCCCCGCAGGTGCCTGCCTGTATCCATAGAATCCTAGAATATCAGGGTTGGAAGGGACCTCAGGAGGTCATCTAGTCCAACCCCCTGCTCAAAGCAGGACCAATCCCCAACTAAATCATCCCAGCGAGAGCTTTGTCAAGCCTGACCTTAAAAACCTCTAAGGAAGGAGATTCCACCACCTCCCTAGGTAACCCATTCCAATGCTTCACCAACCTCCTAGTGAAATAGTGTTTCCTAATATCCAACCTAAACCTCCCCCACTGCAACTTGAGACCATTACTTCTCGTTCTGTCATCTGCTACCACTGAGAACAGTCTAGATCCATCCTCTTTGTTAGTACATTTTAGGTAGTTGAAAGCAGCTATCAAATCCCCCCCTCATTCTTCTCTTCCGCAGACTAAACAATCCCAGTTCCCTCAGCCTCTCCTCATAACTCATGTGTTCCAGTCCCCTAATAATTTTTGTTGCCCTCCGCTGGATGTTTTCCAATTTTTCCACATCTTTCTTGTAGTGTGGGGCCCAAAACTAGACACAGTACTCCAGATGAGGCCTCACCAAAGTCGAATAGAGGGGAACGATCACGTCCCTCAATCTGCTGGCTCTTGTCCAAGATCATGAGCTCTATGGGGCAGGGACCATCCGTTCTGGGTTTGTACCACACCTAGCCCAACTGGGTCCTGATACATGACTAAGTGCTATCATAATAAAAATAATTAATAATAACGGACTCTGTGTTAAAATTGTTGCATCACTTCACTGGCTGGTGGGGTCATCTCCAGGGTAAGATGTAAAACCAAGGACGTGAATATTTATGATCACTGAAAATTCCATTACTCTTTTTATATTCTCCCAGAATTGGCATGTTGGCGTCACTGATATTGCAACCAATTCCCGTTTGGGCAGCCCACTCTGCCTCTCTAAAAATCCCTTGTGTCCAAGAAACAATGGCATGAAACGGGTAGTGCTGGGAAGAGATATGAAGGGAATACTTCCCACTCCTGTTAGCGTGGAGACCATGTTAACCTCCAGCCTAATGAATTCTTGCTCTGTGTCTCTCTGGAAGAAACATAGGGAAGTTTTCAGAGATGTTTTGTAAGGCAAGGAAAATACAACGTGTGGAAAAGATTCAGGAGGAAAGAGGCAGAACAGAAAACAACCATCCGTTACATCACATTTATTTTTCTATTCGGAGTCTGCTGCCAAATTATAGCATTGGGCGTGTGTGGATTGTACTGTCCTTGCCTGGATGAGATTGTAAAACCTCGGAGTGAGGCTGTGTTTTTACCCATCCACACATTCTAAGCCAAGCGCGCAGTTGAGCTGAGGGCCTGGCCACACCCCCTTATTATACTATACACCCTACTGTACCATGAAACACCACTGGACATCCCAGCCAGCACATCTGCATAACAGTCAAGATGATGTACCATGTGGCTCTAGAATGAAAGAGGATCCCTTATCTTTTTAAAGCTCTAGAACACGCACATCGGAGCTGGATCTTGGCCTTACTTTGGTGCCCATCATGGGGGGACTTGCACATCTTCGATCAGCAAGTCATCTCGGTAGCTATTTCATGTACGAATCTTGAGAGTGAACTGCTGGAAGGAAGGAGTAAGACATGTAAGGATGCATGGGGGGCAGGGGGGCAAGAAGATAAGCGGGCCAAATTATGGAGTGTGGTTGCTGAGCAGAGAGCACAATACATTGGATGTTAAAAGAAACTCACACGTGTAACTAATTCGCCACCTGCCTGTGAATAGCCACATGGCTTCATTTGTATATTGTGTCTCCTCTGCCCTTCATCCACCTTTGCCATTGTGGACTGTACGCTCTTGAGGAAGGGACTGGGTCTGCTTACGTGTCTGGAAAGTGCCTAGCCCATTTTGGGAGCTCCCAACTTCTAAATAATGATCAGCGAATGCTGGAGGCTGGACACGGAATGTGTGGGGCTGGTAATTTGACCTGGTATTGGGGTGGAGTGGGGGAGGACTACTTTCCCTTCAAACCCTGCCCCCCCCCACACTCTGCTTCCCCCCACCCCCCATCAGTGAAAAACTCCCATTGATTTCAATCGGGCCAGGATATCATTCAATGCATTTTGTGGATACTTTCTGAAAAATCCAGCTGTGAACGCCCGTCGTGTTCAGAGCAGATAATGTGCTACAACGATCCATCAAGTCCATTGACTATATTTCCCTTGACTTGAGGTTTAACAGCTAGGATGGCAATGAGCCTAAAGGAAACTCATCTTGACTTAGGAGAACTTTTGATATATTTTCTCTCTCTTGAAGTAATAGGAGGGCCTTTATTTCATACTTCAGCCTTGCCTTTTCGTAGGGCTTAACAGAGGAAATCCCTGGGAAAGAAGAGACCAAAATCCCTGGGAAAGAAGAGACCATGACCCCCGTGTGTTAGTACAATCTCTTCTTCGGCCTTGGAATCATAGAATATCCGGGTTGGAAGGGACCTCAGGAGGTCATTGAGTAAAAGCAGGACCAATCCTCAATTTTTGCCCCAGATCCCTAAATGGCCCCCTCACAACCCTGGGTTTAGCAGGCCAGTGTGCAAACCACTGAGCTTTCCCACCCCCCCTAAAATTTTTTACCCCAGATGGGACACGAACCCACAATCCCTGGCTTAGGAGGCCAGTGCCTTAAGTTTTAAATTCACAAGGGCACCTGATCCAAAGCCCACAGAAATCAGTGGATGTTCTTTCTATTGACTTCAGTAGGTTTGGGATCAGGGCCAAACAGAGCTATGTCAAAGGGTGGAAAAAATGCACCAAAAGTCTGAATATGTAAAAAAAAAAAAAAAAATCTAGATAGGAATAAAGAAACTTTGTAAAAGAATGACACCTTGTTCAGTATGGTATTTTTCACGTTTTCTGTACATTATGGTGCATCACTGTAAAGCAGTCAGTGAAATAATACATTTTTGTCTCTTGTCAACCAAAGCATGCTTTTATGTACTGCTTTGATTAATCAGTTAGCCACAAAATTAGGAAAGCACATCACTAGGCTGTGAATGAACTATATAATATATCCCAGTAAATACAGCAGTCTTTACTTGCTCCTCACTTCTCTGATATAAATAGGCTGTTAAACAAGGTTTTGCACTGTTATTTTTAAGCATGCCACTTTCAGGTACTGTAACACAAGGGCTTGCGGAAAGAGGGTCATTGGCATCGTTCCCTGCCATGCAAACTCAGAACTGGCTTGAGAGTGTACAATGGAACCAAATCAGTTACAACAGTTTATAAGCAGGGATGCAAAGTGTAGGGCTTACAATGTGTTCCGTTGACATCTATAATGCTGCTCTCCTGTTTGCTACGGAAATGCAGCCGATGAGATTATCCAAGAATAGCACATAGTGCTTTCCCCCTCCACAGATCTCAAAGCCTTTTGCAAAGGTGAGTGGTATTCCTGTTTTTACAGATTGGGAAACGGAGGCACGGAGCTATAAATGACTGGCCCAAGGTCACACTGTCAGTCAGTGGCAGAGCTTGGAAGAGAACCCAGGAGATCCTGACTTGCCTTCTCGTGCACCACACATTGGCGTGAACTGCTGTCTCCATGGGCTGCATCCTCCTATCAAAGAGGAAAAAGGAAGGGCTATGATTTCTTCTGCTGTAGGTGTGGCCCTCAGCTACTCAAACTTGAACACCTCTTGGGTGACAAGCACTTGTGCAATTTTGGCGATGGTTAACTCTGGCAGAGGAACAATGCACATATTTGCCAAGCCGGACAGAAAATCGAAAAGGGAACCCTGCAAGAGGCCAGATGGACGAGCAGGAGTTCTTTAATAGGCACTCAGCGCTTGCAGTAGGCTAAGGAACGTGGCCTTCCTGGAGATTTACAAGATGCCCTCATGTCTCTCCGTGACTTTCAAGGCCTCATGCATGCTGGCTGCAGACAGCCTCCTGTTGATGTTCCTGTACCTGCACCGCAGAAGGTTCCAAAAAGTAGTCCTTAGATCGCGGTTGAAGAAAGCATAGATCAAGGGGTTGATCAGGGAGTTGGTGTAACCCAGCCACAGCAGGGTCCTCTCCAGCCGCAGGGGCATGCAGCTGCACTGGATACCACAAATGAAAGGCCGGGCCGTGGACATCAGGAAGAAGGGAAACCAGCAAAAGGTAAAGGCCCCCACGATAATGCCGAGGGTTCTCGCTGCTTTCTGCTCCCTTTTGAAGATGGAAATGTTCTTTCGATCTTGCCGGAGCAGTTTGGACAAGGTGGCGCACTCCTCCACCGCTTTGCTGCGCTTGGAGCTGTGATGGCCTCGGACGCTGACGTCCATGCAGTACACCCCCTCCTTCTCCTGGTGTCTGGGGAAGTTCATGAACCGGTGTTTCTCTGCACTGACCTTGGCAGCTTTGTAGATCCGGCTGTACATGACAAGCATGACTGTCATGGGGATATAGAAGGCTACCCCAGTGGAGTAGACGGTGTATCCAAAGTCCTGGCTGATGAGGCAGACCCTTTCAACGTTGACGTTCTTGGCCCAGCCAAACAGCGGAGGAAGAGTTATGGAGGCAGAAAGAAGCCAAACTATGAACACCATCTTGGCCATTAATTTCCCGTTTTGTCTCACAGGGTATGTCAGCGGCCGTGTGATCCCCAAATACCTGCAAAACAGTTTCAAAGCCGATCAGGTTTGCTTTTTGGTTCACAAGAAGGTGAAGGTTGTCAAACATATAGAATCATAGAATATCAGGGTTGGAAGGGACCTCAGGAGGTCATCTAGTCCAACCCCCTGCTCAAAGCAGGACCAATCCCTAGTTTTTGCCCCAGATCCCTAAATGGCCCCCTCAAGGATTGAACTCACAATCCTGGGTAAAGCAGGCCAATGCTCAAACCACTGAGCTATCCCTCCCCCCCAAGAAGGTGGTTTTGCACCCCAGGTGGGACTTGAACCCACAATCTCTGGCTTAGGAAGCCAATGCCTTATCCATTGGGCAGAAATGCTATTGGTAAGTGTCACCTCAGTCATAACGAGAATTGGTTGGAAAATGTTTTTTTTGCTCCCCATGGTATATTTTTCCCCAAAAGGAAAATTATTTCATGTTTGTTGAGATTTTCCATGCAAAACTCCAGCTTTGTGGTGAAAAAAAAATCAAAATATTTCAGCCCAAATCCCAAAATGTCCATTCAGAAATGCCAGTGCAATATCTCACGGGAGTTGTAGTTTGGGTGCCTCATGAGTTCACCTCTCCTCTATAGGCCAGGCTCCCTCGGTGGACTACACTTGCTATCATTCAGCACAGTAGTCCCTCTTACAGAGCCACCATGATGTACCATAGGAATCCCATTGACAAAGTGAATCCGATTTCTCACTCAGCTGGAAATCAAGACTTACTTTGTGAAAAATTTCATGTAATCAAAAACCCAATTTTCCATTGAACATTTTTTCATGGAAAATTTTCAACCAGCTCTAGTCACAGCAATTCAGACCATCCCATCACCCCAGCAGGCAAAAACCCAAGTCAAAAATGACTAGAAAGTCATCAGACTCAGGGCCAAATTCTGCTCTCCATTACACCAGTGTAAATCAGGAATAATCCCAAGCGAAGTCAACGGCATTGCACCCATGTGTCACGGAGAGCAGAATTCAGCACTCAGGCTTTGCCTAACCCACAGTGGAAGAGATCTCCAGAGCTAAGATCCCTTCAGGCCCGCAAAGTTCAAATCTACAGACTATTGGCAAAAGCGCCCCAGCTGTTCTCAACTTTCAACACAGTGCAGAGGTGGGGCGTGGCAGGCCCACATCTGGCAAGTGAATGTAACAGAGTCTGGCATGAAATTTGCATGCCAAGGGACTGGAAGAAAGAGGTGGGCCAGAACATGCTACTAATAGGATGTTGCATCCGATGAAGTGAGCTGTAGCTCACGAAAGCTTATGCTCAAATAAATTGGTTAGTCTCTAAGGTGCCACAAGTACTCCTTTTCTTTTTGCGAATACAGACTAACACGGCTGTTACTCTGAAACCTGTCAGGATGGTGAAAGAAAGTGCAGGATTAAATATCCTTTCCTACCTTTGGGCTGGTCTACACTATGTGGGGGGGGATCAATCTAAGTTACGCAACTTCAGCTACGTGAATAACGTAGCTGAAGTTGACATACTTAGATCTACTTACTGCGGTGTGTCAACGGGATTCCCCTTGCGCTTCTCATTGAGGTGGAGTACCGGAGTCAACGCTAGAGCGATCAGCTGTCGATTTATCGTGTCTATACTAGACACGATAAAACAACCCCTGCTGGATCAATTGCTGCCCATCGATCTGGCCAGTAGTGTAGACAAGCCCTTTATTTTACACCTTCTTTTGGCTCCTGCCCCCCACATACCTATTTGAAACATCTACCACCTAACCACTCACCTCTCAACTTAGCCTGCATTCTCTAAGGAACCAAAACATGTAGAGATTCTATGGATCTATGTCAACATCTTAAATTGTGCCCAGAAACACAATTGAAGCAAGAGCACCCTGCAGAGAACTGGTGCTATATGCATCAAGCAAGCCAATGCTTGCTGGCTAATCAGGCAACTATGTTCTAGGCGACAGGGAGCTTCCAAGTGGTATCCCCATGTGAGTCATATTCTAGAAGTTCCAACTGGGAGCTCCCAACCGCCTGGGTAATTGATGAATTCATAGGTTTTAAGGGCTGAAGGGACCATAATTATTATCTAGTCTGACCCTCTTGCATAACACAGGCTGCTGGCCTCACCGAATAATTTCTGCATCAAGCCCATAACTTCTGTTGGAGCTATAGCAGATTTTTTAGAAAGACATCCAGTTTTGAGTTAAAGATGTCAAGTGATGGAGAACCTACCACACATCCCTAGGTATGTTGTCCCAGCGGATAATTACCCATCACGTTAAAAATGTGAATCTTATTTCTAGTCTGTATTTATCTAACTTCAGCTTCCAGCCACTGCCTCTTATTATGGCCTTTTTCTGTTCGATTAAAGATCTATCTGCTGTCAGACGTCTCTTCGCCATGTACATATTCGTAGATCGAGATGAGGTCACCTCCTCTTTGATACACTAAATTAACAAAAGGAGTGCCATCTATCATGGCAAACTCTCCGCCCGAGGGGAAAAGTCATCACTAGAGCAGGACAAAACAATTTAATTGAAAAGATTTTTCAATGAAAAATGTTTTTTCCCACCGAAAGGAAAATGTCTGCAAAGAATTTTCACATTGGGTGAAATTTTAGGGGGTTTTGACTGCAACATTTGAAATAATTTTTGTTGTTGTTGTTCATAAAGTTTGTGGGGTTTCACATTTCTTCCTTTTCCAGCGCAGCACAGAAATAAAAAAGGGGGGGGGAGGGGAAGGAGTGATAGAACATGGGGAAAAAAGAAACCCTCCCCGAAGAAAACCTTTTAAATAAACCCAAAAGTCCACAAAGAACATTTTCAACCCAAAATGAAAGTGTTCATTTCTTTGGAATTTTTTCTTGAGAATGGAATTATTTTTTCAGCCAGCAGTAGTCACAACCACCTAGCAAAATGCAGACACCCACCCACCACTACCTGAGAATCTGGAAGATTTAGCAAGAGACTTACTGAGAACCGGTGAGCACGACCCGTCAACAGAAGTATCATTGTAACCACTGGCATCACCTCCACGTAGTCTGTGCTGAGCTTCAGCCTGTTTGCGACCCTCCATTCCCCTCTCCCAGGCCAGGTCTATTCTAAAAAGTTAGGTTGACCCAGCTACATCACTCAGGGGTGAGGATTTTTCACACCCCTGAACGATGCAGTTAACCCTCAGTGTAGACAGCTACCACCTCTCCCGGAGGTGAACTAACTACAGTGATGGGAGAACACCTCATGGTAATGAGTGGCTATATGGATTCGCCATAGCAGTGCAGCTGCAGCCCTGCTGCAGTTTAAGTGTAGACACAGCCCCGGCGAAGTTCTGGGAAAGCAGCGCTCTTTGTCTCTGACTGAAGAGAGATGCAGAGCTGAGTGCTATTAGCCTGCTGATGGCACCACAGCCCATAACTCCCTCAGACAAAGAGCCGTCTTGGCTGGAGAGTGGGTGAGCCACTCTCAAAGACTTCCCCCATGACCCTTCACTGAAGGGAAGGAACAGAGCCAGCTCCAGGAGGGAGGGGGAGAAAGATGAAGTAGTGTCATCATATGATGATGAGAACACTCTTTCCATTTCACTAGTATCTCAGGAAGATGTTAAATAGAAGCTACTAAAGCTAGACATTTTCAAACCAGCAGGACTGGATAACTTACATCCAAGAGTTCTAAAAGAGCTGGCTGAGGAGCTTGCTGGCTCATTAATGTTGATTTTAATTAAGTCTTGGAACAGTGGGAAAGTTGCAGAAGACTGGAAGAAAGCTAGCTAATGTTGTGCCAATATTTTAAAAGGTTAAATGGGGTGACTCCGGTAATTAAAGGCCTGTCAGTCTGACATTGATCCCAGGCAAGATAATGGAGCAGCTGTTACTGGACTTGATTAATAAAGAATTAAAGGAGAGTAATTTAATTAAGGCCAATAAACATGAGTTTATGGACAATAGCTCTTGTCAAACTAACATATCTTTTTCTGATGAGATTACAAATTGGGTAGATAAAGGTAATAGTGTTGATGTTATGTATTTAAAACATTTCACTTGATACCACATGACATTTTGATTAAAAAATTTGAAAAAATATAAAATTAATATGGCACATATTAAATGGATTAAAAACTGGCTAACTGATAGATCTCAAGATGTAATTTTAAATGGGGAACCATCAAGTAGGTGTATTTCTAGTAGGGTCCCACAGGGATCGGTTCTTGCCTCTATGCTATTTAACATTTTAATAAGTGACCTGTAAGAAAACTAAATAATCACTGATAAAGTTTATAGATGGCACAAAAATTGGAGATTGGTAAATAGTGAAGGAGGACAAATCTCTAATGCAGAGCGATCAATAAGTGTTTTAATATGGCTAAATGTAAACGTATAGATCTAGGAACAAAAATATAGGCCATACTTACAGGACGAGGGACTCTATCCTGGGAAACAGTGACTTTGAAAAAGATTTGGAAGGTCATGGTGGGTAATCAGCTGAACATAAGCTGTGGTCAGAAAGGTGAATGAAATCCTTGAGTGCATAAACAGGGGAATCTCAAATAGGAATAGAGAGGTTCTTTTGCCTCTGTATTTGGTGATGGCTCCTAGAATACTCTATCTAATTGTACTGCCCACAATTCAAAAAGGATGTTGATGCATTGGAGAGGGTTCAGAGAAGAGCCACAAGAACAATTAAAGGTTTAGAAGACCTGCGTTATGGTCATAGACTCAAGGAGCTCAATCTATATAGCTTAACAAAGAGAAGGTTAAGGAGTGACTTGATTACAGTCTATAAACACCTATGTGGGGAACAAATATTTAATAAAGATCTCTTAAATCTAGCAGAGAAAGGCATAACATGATCCAACGGCTGGCAGTTGAAGCTAGACATGTTCAGACTGGAAATAAGGTGTAAATTTTTAACAGTGAGAGTAATTAACCACTGGAATAATTTATCACACTTGTGGTGGATTATCCATCACTGACAATTTTTAAATCAAGATAGAGTGTTTTTCTAATATCTCTGCTCTGGGAATTATTCTGGG